CATTTAACATATTTATTTGTTAATGTATGTGGTGGAACATAACTAAGTACATTTAGGCTACTACTACTAAAGCTGGGGTTGGCAATTTATTTCAGAAACATTTTTTGTTATATTTGTTAACAGAAGTCGGCACGAGTAAACACAAACACATGAACACTGGAATACAAAGGACATCTGCTGTCACTTAGGTGTACCCGAGTACGCAAACAGATGCTGCCGTCATGTGTTGCTAACACAGCTGCCACAATTCTTACAATTCTTCTTAGTGCGCCTGTGACTGGTGTGTTTGCTACAGTGTCATGTTTTCTAACATCACAACCGGACTGTTTACTTAACATCTGACCTAAACTCATTAAGTCAATCATCAGTGACCACTGTTTACCTGAGCTGTGAGCAGTGGTGGAAAAAGTGTTTAGATCCTGAAACTTAACCATAAGTACTAACACCACAGTGAAGATACTCCGTTACAAGTTCTGCTTTTTAAAAGTAAGAATAATCAGGAAAGTAAAGTATTAACAGTAAAAGTATTGAATGCAGAAAAAATGCTCCCTGTGACTATTATGCTATTATATAATATATCATTAGATAATTATTACTAATGCATTAATGTGAAAGCAGGATTTTACTGCTGTACTTGGTTGAGGTGGAGCTCATTTTGAACTATTGTACAGGACTATAATGATTATTTTCATTATGGATTGACTTGCTGATTATTTTCTCCATTATTCGAATGGATTGTCTATTTTGTAGAAATTCTGAAAATATTGAGAAATGCCATCAAAATTACCCAGAGCCCAAAGTGACACCTTCACAATGCTTTGCAATGTCTAAACCTCAAAATTATTCCAAACAATTTTAAATTGTTAAAATAATTACAAGGAAAGTCAGCAAACCCTCACATTTGCAAAGCTGGAACGATGCATGACATTTTAATAAAAATTAAATAGTTGCCATTTAATTTTTTGTCTATCCATCAATCGTGTCAGCTGTTGCCTATTTTCATATTTTTTGTGTGCAAGGATTTTAATTTGTACAAGAACTAGTGCTGTCAAATATATGTAGTACATGAAAAAGTGCAATATTTCCCTCTGAATGTAGAGGAGTAGAAGTAAAAGTACCACCACTGGTTATCATTATAGGAATAATGTCAAAGGTCAAAAGTCAGCGTGTCCACGTACGTCACTGATTGTAAGCCACCAGTCGATCAGTAGGTTTTTCAGCATAACAAGCAGCAAATTAGCTGTTCCTTCCTCCATCATTAACATACTGAATCTGCCAAGCTGTTATGTAGTTTTCTGGATTCGTGCCCATGCCAGAAAAACACACAGAAATGAATCACAAACAACAGCTCATGATATTAAATTATATTTTGGTGATGGTAGCTTCACAGAGCCAATATCATTCAGGACATGAGTCAGATTATTATAATTTAATACTGTATGTTGAGATGTAAAGTGACACGATCACAACTTTGTATTATCCACAATAAGACTTACAAAGGAATTATAATAAAGCCTTTTTCCATTTATTGAAAGTGATGCACTTTGGCTCAATATAACTATCCGAATGAACACTGAAACCATCAATTTTGTAACTTGCTAGCCTTTTCTGCATCTCTCAGTCTCGCTCATTGGGTGGAGTTTGCTCAATTACCTTAATAATCACTGATTTGCCCATAGAGTACACTCTATCTGCTGGGGAAGACCGTGAGATGTGGTTGAAAGTTCTGGTCAAAACTAGTAAAAGATTTTTTATTTGTCTTTTTGTTGGGGGAGGGGGGGGGGGGGATTGCTGTTTACAATGTTAAGAATGAACTTTCATTTCAGCTAAGCAACTTCTGCAACTTTGAGCACAAAATTAAGCCATTTGTCAAAACATATTTGCCAAACTATGTAGGTAAGGAAGTGACTCAGAAAAATATGAAATATCATAGAAATGTCAAAATACACTGGAGGAGGGCTTCATAAGAAAGTGTAGATAAATGCTTTAGAAAATGGAGTGATTGTTCACGGGTGGCATGGTTGGCCGGTGGACAACGCTGTGTCACAGCAAGAAGGTCATGAGTTCGAACCTTGGTCATTCCAAGCCTTTCTATGTGGAGTTTGCATGTTCTCCCAGTGTCTGCGTGGGTTCTCTCTGGGTGCTCCAGCTTCCTCCCACCATCCAAAGACATGCGGCTTAGGTTGATTGGTGACCCTAAATTTTGAGTGTGACTTTTTTTGTTTGTCTATGTGTGACCCTGCGATGGATTGGCGACCTGTCCAGGGTGTACCACGCCTTTTGCCCGATGTAAGCTGGGATTGGCTCCAGCCCCCCGCGACCATGTAAGCGGTTGACGATGGATGGTGATTTTTCACAACTCCATCTGCTTGAGTATAAAATATACACCTGTAAGCCAGGTCTAGAATCAAGCAACTATCTGTGTGTGATATATTAGAGATATCTAAACACTTTCTGAAATCCTCCTCTTACTCTTCTCCTTTTTATTTCCTGTAAAGCAGTCAAACCAGAAGAGTCCAATCAGACAAAATCACCACCAAAGCCCACAAGACAGTCACCCTGCTCCGGAAATTTCTGCTGACACATTCAAGGGTTTTGCCCCCTTAAGAGCGCCCATTATTGATCACACAACCTCGTGGTATCCTGAGGAGCTGCTCAGTCATTTCAGCTTGAGATCCCTGTGGATGTTGATGTGTTCGGTATGTTGTCGTAACAGTAGGAGCAGGAGGAGAGGCTGCAGACGCTGCAGTCTCACGGCCCACAGACCAAGCCCTCTGACCAGTGTTTATTTCTGCCTGGCCCCACCGTTTATTTTCACGGGAGTATTAATGCTTATTTTGATATGCCTCTTGTGTTATTTTAGATGAGTCATTGGGGAACGTGTGGGTACATGTGAGAACATTCTGTGCCTGTGCGTTGACGGTGAGACGTGTGCACGACGGAGAGGACTGTGTGTATGTGTGTGCGCATTTGTTCGCCAGAAACACACTCACACACATGATAATGTAGGCTTCTGTATCCTGTTGAGAAGAGAAGCTTGTTTCTTTATCCGTAGTCAACAACACTACCAAGAGAAGATGAGAATAGACTGTGTGAGAGGGAACATTTTGAGCTTTGTAAACATTACGTAACGGCTCAGCTCATGTAATAATATGGCTACAACAAAATAAGCTTCACGTTCGGTGTTCATTGTTTTCTGTATTGTCTAGTTAGACAGAGTAATTGTAGATTTCTCTGTTTGTACCTGAGCAGGCCATGGGGGGGGGGGGGGGAGAGTAACCCTTTTCAGGCCCTGAACAGAGGCCTTGATTTCCGCATAATCTTGCTACCTGTAATTGTGTCCTGGCAGCAAATTAATGTGAACACCCAATGTAGACTTATAACATGATGCAAATAATACCGTCATGGATTAAATCAATATGCAAAGAGTGATAGCAGACCGTCTTTGCTGTTGGAGGTGTCCTGGCAACAGTTTTACCAATGTGTCCTTTACAATGGTGGTCAAGGGGAATGTTTTTGCTGCAGTTCCCACTGTGAGTGGCCACCGTGGCAAATCTACAGCAAGACTGAGAGGCAGCGCCCTATCGTAATAAAACAATGGAAGAAACTTATGAGCTAACAAAGTGTTTGCATGTTTAAATAGAAGAGGACTAACAATCAGCATTTTGATTCAGTATGTGAGTATTCAAAGGTATAGAGCATTTTATTGTAAAATCCAAGAGTTAGATGATAAGATTGATATTCACACACTCATGTCTGTGCTTTAAGTACAGAGCTGGAACGGGGAGGTGATTATAGCTTAGCTTAGTTTAGCATAAAAACAGAGCAGCAGGGAGAAACAGTTAGCTTAGCTCTGGCAACCAGTACATCTAAAGCTCACTAATTAACATGTTGTTAGTTTAATCCAAACACAAATGATAAAACTAGAAGAGTTACTTGCTGTAACTATTTTTTACAAACAAGAGCAAAGTGCAGTTTTTGTTTTTTTGAGTCATTTAGGTTCCAGGTTTAGTATTAGCATCGACACATCTACTGTACTCAACAGGCTTTTCTGGTGACCTGCATTATAGCTGGAGACAATACACAGAAGGTGGACGGATAAAAAAGAAAACCACAACTTGTCTTTTTCACATTCCCGTTTATGTAGTTAATAAAAATAATTAAATGAAATATGCAATGCGTTAATCAGTGAGCTTTAGAGGTGCTAGTAGAATTATTTTTGAACTTTGGACAGAGCCAGGCTAGCTGTTTCCACCTTTCACGTTAAGTGATCAAAAAACTGAATCACACTGAATTAATATATAATGGTAAACAGTATAAAAGTGAGTGTGGTGGAGGGTAAAACCACCTGAGCTGCTAACATGCTGCTAAAATGTTCACAGTGACATGCTAATGAGCTGATGAGCAGGTATAATGTTTACCATGTTTATCAACTTAGATAAGCATGTTAGCATGCTGACTAAAGCTAATAGCACTTTGGACAGGTGAGGGTGTGATGAGAATGTCATTATTTTTGCAGGTATGTGGTCATAAATGACAAGAATCAATCAGTTGTTGTGATGTTTCTGTCTAAACCAAAGTCATGGACTGACCAACATCCCCAGAGCCACATTGCTGGTGTGGCTTAAAACCTTTTCTCTTTTTACACTTCTTCTCCCTCCCTCATCTTTTCTTTAATTATTCTCTCCTGTTTTGCCCACAGCAGCGCTCCACACACACTGGCTGCAGGCCGGTGCATGCTAGGACTGCAGTCACAGCTATCATGAATAGACCGCACTGTGTCACAAACAATAACCTCTGAACACACAAAGAAAATGTTGTTGTTTTCATGATTACCAGTGGAAATGAATGATTAACGTGGTTTGAATGGAGCCCAGTGAAAAGAAGTCATGTCTTTTCAGCTTCTCTTCAGACTACAGCTAAACTCAAACACATGAAGTCTTTGAGCTGTTGTTTTATTGTGTATGTGTGTGTGGTAGCTAACAGTACGATGCCAGTGTGTTATGGAGCTCAGAGCTGAGCCAGATTCTCTATCAGGCACGACTGGAGGACGCTGCAGTCATTGTGATAATAGAAGAGGTGACTGTAATCCTTTTTGTCCTCTCCTTGTCTTCCCCTCTTACTCGCAATTATAAAACATGTGCTCATGCATTTTCTTCTCTCTCTATAATCAGTCCATGTCTTATTTTTCAGCTGTAGAGTTAGCTGTTCACCTTTCTGTCGTCCTTTGCTTCAAGCCATCAAGTGCATCGGGCCAGGTGCTTGGCTGATTGGGCTCCAGAGCGATAGATTGAGAGGTAACTGCCAAGTATTGATTGCCTGCAAGCCTCTGACCTTAACAAGAGCAGGCTTAGAGTAAAAGACGTTTGTCAAATTCTGCTATAATATTTTTTGTTAGGTTTTTTTTTTTTGCACAATATTGACTCAGGGTCATTAAGAAAGCAACGTATCCTGACAAAACATGCTGAATGCCAGAAAGAAGATGAAATAATAAACTGATCAATTATAAAATGATAAATTACTAGATAAAATTAGGAGATCCTTGCTGCCTTTGGAGCAAAGGTCAGTACAACTAATAAACGTCCTACTCTCTCTCACAAATCAATCATATACTCTGTTAAACTAGAAGAAGCAGGTTTTGTTCCCCTCTTATTTCAGTCTGAACCTGTTCAAAACAGTCAGTCGATGGTAAACAAGCAGGAGCCCCAAACCCCCCCGCCTTTTTAAAAATCTGTCCTTGAGGCCGCACTACCGCCATCATCTTTGTCCCAAGCCTCCAATTTTGTCCTCTAAGGAATAATGGGCTTGTCTGCCACTTTCTCTCCTTTATCTCTCCGAGCGAGACAAGAAACAAGCAAGCTTCATTCACAGGCCAAATCAGCTGATAGGTTACATTCATCCTCTACATGGACATTATTTTAACTGTTTTTTTTGTCATGCTAAGTGCTGATTTTAGATGAGAAAACTCAACAGAATAACGAGTGGATTTTCCAGTCTGAAAGTTACTGTATTATGTGCCTTAAAAGTGCTATAGGTTACACGTGCCAGAGAAATGTGAGAAACGAGGGATTGGGTAAAAAGTCTGTCCTGATAGGTCTGTGGTATAGGGACAAACAAGCCACATAACTGAAACTTATACTAAAATTATGGCACAGCCTGTATAGTAGTGGCTAATGTAGCCTCAAGCTGCTAGCCTCAAGCAGAGATAAGGAGCGGGCTAAAGAGGTCTGGTAAGCTCACTTCTTTCTTACTCCACATGCCAAGATTGTTTTCTTTTTTAAACTTGTAGTGTTGCGCTCCAACCGACACTCACTCAAGTGACATCACTTGAGGCACGCACTTTGCCCTGGAGCCACAAAAGGCTTTCCACAAGTTTATTCACATACAGTATGCTGTAGTACTCCCCAAGACCTGCAAATAGACTTGGATGTGTAAAACACAGTAAGTACAAATGATGTGGTTTCAAATTAATGCAACTCTAGTGTACTATTTCTGAAAAGGTGAGTGTGCTTTCAGAATATTTTAGAAAATTTAAAATGATTTCTGGCCAGTTGCCTGTCACCCATGGTCAAGAGTTTGGCTGGTGGCTGGTGTAATTTCCTTCCCTGTGTTTAAGGTTGAGTGAAGGTCAGTGAGGAGGACTTCCTTTTCTGTCTGTCTGCTCTACTGTCTCATTTCTGTAGTGCAAACAGCCCTTATGCTGCACTTTTTTGCTCTTTATTTATTAAATTTGGAGGTCAGGTAGACAGCAGAACACCAAAGCTTTTCATTGAGAAAGGGTTTAATTAACTTTAATCAGTGAATCAACGCACCTGTATCAATACGTCCCACTACCTCCCACTAGCTTTGTCTGTTGGGAAAATAATAATCACTACCGCCATTTTTACTTTAACAGTATCTCTTTTGCAGTGTGTGGGTGTGTTTGTAGAGCAAGTGGCAGAGCAGTGGGCAGTAACGAGGGAGTAAATGAATATGATAAAACTCTGACTCCCACATTTTCTACCACAACAGCCTCTAGTGTTGGAATGCTAATCATAAGCCTCTTGCTTTTTCTGGTTATATTTAGCCATGCTAGCGGCATGGCGTTATGGATGGCAATGTCGGTCTGTTCATCGTTAGGCCCACCACTTTTGTCAAGACTTAAAAATCTCAGCAACTATTCATGGTTCCTAGAGTCTGGAGCTAATAGCTAATTCTGTCTGAATCATAAAGACTTTAATGATCCTCTTACTTTTACACCACCAACAAGATCACATTTGTGGTTTTGACTGAAATGGTGCTACTGGATGGATTATCATAAAATTTAGCAGGCTGCACATATTCATATCCTCTTCAGGATGAACCTTGAGTGATTCCTCAAGATTAAGGCACTATAGTCATCAGGTCAGATTTAAGTTTAAACTTTGGTTCATGACGAAATACATGCAAAACTAACAATCCCATCAGCCTCAGCTGTACTTTTTGTTTACTGCTAATTAGCTAATGTTAGCATGCTAACATGCTAAACTATGTTGTATAGGATGTTAGCATTGTCATTGTGAACATGTCTCATGCTAGCATTTAGCTGTGCCTCAGTGCAGCTTTACAGAGCAGCTAGAGTTGACTCTTGAGTATTTTTTTATGTATGAGGTCCAAAACACACAGTTAGTGTCTAATCATAGAAAACTCCAAAAATCAGTTAAAGCTTCATCTTATCTTATTAAAAAAACTGCTAAATCAACTGCTTTGCCTCTCATCTCCTCTCACTGTGCAGCTTCCTTTCTCACAGTGTCCCACTTTATTCCACAAGTAATTTTGGGGAGGTTACACATAAAGTCAAGCTAATTGATTTAACTTAAAATCCTTGTCAGTCTGCCTTTTTTTCTTCCAGGAGTGTGACCTCAGAGCTCCCGCTTCTTAAAATGAGCATGAAATGAGATGACTAATCCACTTCAATTACTAATTTCAACAAAAATATTGGTTACTTAACTTTTAACTTTCTGTTTCTCACTGAAGGCTGTTAGGTAATTGCTCTATTTTTTTTGACTGAACACTTAACAAGTTAAATATTATTTAATTACATTACATGCATCATTGCCTGTCACAGCGTGATGTGGACACCCCACATCACGCTGTGACAGGCAATGATGCATGCATTTATTTCTAATGATTAGAGGTAATTAGTCATATTTTTCTGCATTTCTTGGTAGATCCCCCTCCCTTCAAGAATACATTTTTAGTTTGTCTTTGGTATCTTTGTTGTCAGTAAGAAGCTGCTGCAGTGTGCAATTTTTTGTACTCTTTTCTCTCTTTCTGACAGGTTTGGTTTCAGCATGACACTGTGTGAAAAAGGATGACTCCTTTACCTCAGAAAACCTCCCTTCCCAGCGCTGTCATCCAGCGTGCATGTAGGTTTGCTTTGTCTTCCTTTGCAGTTTCTCCCTCACTGTATCTCATTGAGCGCTCCTTCAACAGCTCTCACCCGTCAGAGTCCTGTCAGACAGGTTTCACTGTAGTTTCAGTGTGATTCTGTCTTTTTTCTTTTGTACATTTTTATGAAAGTAGATTTTTATCAGTATCGTAGAATTCATCATGCCACCATCAGCCTTTGTTCCTTTGTAGCTAGAAGCCCGCAAGGAGCATGAACCTCTGCTCACTGCATTTGTGCATATTTCTATCTAAATGGTTCAGAAATATCCAGAACCTCAGCATGAAAAACCTCTGCGGCCTCAGCAGTGGGCAACCAACTGATCTGGCGTCAGGTTTTTGACTTATCATGGTGTACTGACTCTAAATTAAGCTTGACAGTCCAACCTGGAATCAATGAGAATAAAACCATCTTTGAAGTGTTATAAGGCTCATGGTATTTTCAAATGTTGTTGTGTGGTGCCCCCTGCTGCCCGATTTCTAATTTATGTGGGGGCATTATGGTGTCTTTTAATATGAACTCAGCATAAAAAATAAACATCCCTTTTTCAGGACACTGTATTTTAAAGGTAATTCTGTAAATATCATAAGGACTTTACTGTAAAGGGTGTAAACAATGTTTTTCATGCTTATTCAGTAAACCATAAACAATCAACAAACATGCACCTGTGGAATTGCCATTAAGACCCTAACAGCATGCTGACAGTAGGCGATTAAGGACACAGCTATAAAAAATAACAACACTAAATAAACCTTTCTACTGACTTTAAAAAACACCAAAAGAAAGATGTGCAGGGTCCCTTCTCATTTATGTGCCTTAGGCGTGCTGCAAGGAGGCATGCTGCCTGGGCAGTAAATTGCAATGTCTGTACTGTGAGACAGCTAAGAAAGCACTACAGGGATACAGGAAGGACAGCTGATAGTCCTCGCAGTGGCAGACCACATGTAACAACACCTGCACAGAACCACAGGGCCACACCAGATACCGATTGATACTTTCGATTTTGACGCCCCTTTTATTTAGGGACACATTTTTCCATTTCTGTTGCTCACATGTCTGTGGAAATTTGTTCAGTTTATGTCTTAATTGTTGAATCTTTTTATGTTCATCTAAATACTAACACATGTTGAGATGAAAATAAAAGCAGTTGTAAGTGAGAGGACATTTCTTTTTGCTGAGTATAGCTTGTCTATTAGCCCTGGTTGTGGGTAAATTCAGTGTAGGCCTAATAGTTGATAGATTAGACAGTCATAGGTGCACTTTGGTCATTGGGCCAGGACTGAAGATCAAGGCTCTTGTGCTTTAAAAAAAAGTAATATTACCTTTTCTCTCAAAAGGTAGATTTTATATTTTTCAGGATGTTGTATTAAAACACATTTCATTCCTGATGATGCAATTCTGTGTTCGTCCTCTGTTTGTGTCAAAATAGCTATCATTGTGCAGGCTTTTGTATTGCTTATTATATAGTGTTATCATTATGTTATTTTATTATTCACAGAGCTGGTGCATGCCGGTGGAAGTTGCTTTTACTGGAGTCCTGAGAAGTAGGAAATGTCATTCCTGCATATTATTGATTTAGTTTATTTGTTGATTTAATGTTTTACATTATAGAGCTGATTCAATTAGTCAAAGATCTGAAAAATCATTGGCAAACGTTTTGATAATTGAGAAAGGCTACTGCTTTCTTTGTCTTACATATAAACTGCATATAGCCTATTTGGGTTTGGACTAAACAACACATTTGAAGAGATCACAGTGGAGTATTTCACTATATTATTCTCTAGATAAGGCGGTTAATGGATTAATCGAGAAAATAATCAGGTCAATTGACAATTCAAATATGAATTACATGCAGCCCTACTTTACATTGTGACTTGCATGTGTTTCATAGCTCTCCTTGTAATTTTGATCATTGCAGTATAGCTCAGGCCCCCCTCCCCGCTGTACTGGGACTTTATGGAGCTGCAGGCTAATCACAGCGAGCTGCCCATCCTGTTTCCAGTCCTCACAGTGACGTTCACCATCGAGGGAGGGCTTGGCAAGGTTGCAGAGGCAAGAGAGGTCTGCATTTTCACAGCACTCCCTCCCCTCACCCTGCAGCAGGTCAGACAAGGTTGTGGCTCCCTGATGACTCTGGTTCATGGGTGAGCTAGGCAGCGTTTAATGAGAGTAACTTAACCCTTTTATCACACCAAGTGCTGAAATGACAAATGAGCAGCAGAGGAAAGAAGGCAGTGGGTTAGGACTCATTTCACTTAAATTTATTTATTTTGCTATTTTAGCAAAGTTGTATGGAAATTGCTTGTTTATGAGCAGATGACATGAAAAAGCAGTAAAAAGCCAGAAGAAACACTAAAAAAGGCATTGTTGTTCTGGAGAAGGACAGTAAGAGTGTGATTGTGTGTGTGTGTTTGTGAGAGGGTGGGTGTTGATCTTTCAGGGCCAATAATGCACAAGCATTGCAAAGGGTGTCAATCAAACTCCATTTCTCATCACATCCAGATCTTCAGCCATCCCTGCGCCAACAGTGTCTAGTCTTCATCAGGGGAGATCCAATACTACTCATGGCTTCCCTACCACCTTAAAATATGATAACATCACAACGGTGTCTCATCTTTATTATGCACATGTCAATGAAATATTTGTTCACTCATAATGAAGTCTCTCCTGATTGAAATAATTAGATTAGAGTGATGAAGTTAGTTAGGAGAAGGTGATTGGGACCAGGACAAAGAGGCTGATGTCATATACAAGAATAAAATAAGCTCAAATTGATTAAGAAACCTAAATCAAACAGAACCCAGAAGCTCTGCATTAAAAGAGAATTTTACAGTTTTACTGCATATAAAGCCCTTTTCAGAACTGTGCAAGGTATGACAAAAAGTGTGATGTCACTTGCTACATTAGCCGCTACCAGCATCACATACTCACAATCTGAGATGCATTGTGGGTAATGCAGGCACCCGGTTTGACGAGGAAAAAAATACGTGTCTTAAAAAAAAGAAGATTTCACGTCATTCCACTCCTCGACTTTAATCTTTTCTCTTTTTTTTTTAACTCTCCATTGTGAACCCGACAATAGTGCAATGCTAAATATGTGGTCTCCAGCATGCAGCACTTTGCAGAACAGAATCAATGTAATTATAAACCTTTCTGATTTTCTTGCAAACTGCTTTGGTGACATTGTTGGAATGAAATATTCACGGCAATAATGAACTGAACTGAACAATGTTTGCTGACGACACAGCATCTTTCACCTTCATCAGTGCTACCAGGAGTCTGTATCTGATTTCTCAAATGAGTTAAGTCACATTACATAACAATTTTTGGAAATTAGCGTTAGTTAAACAAAATTCATTGTCATTCAGTCACTCTGCCAAGATTTTCTTCTTCCAGTGATACTAAATACATCTTCTGAAAAAGCACAAAACAACACAGGCTTCTACAAAACAATCTTTACTGTGGCACAACAGCAGTGCCAGAGCTGCCGTTTAACCCGCACGAGAGTGAATGCAATTTGAGACTGAAATTAAATCAACACATCATGTTCTTTCTGATAAAAAAGGAAAGTACATCACAAAAGTGCACTAGGCCCACAATTCAGCCCTTTTAAAAAAAATTGCATTTTATCTCCAAATGTACTCGAGAGCCCCAGTCATTTGGCAGCTGCTCAAGACGTTTCCCCTCCTTCTTTAATTACGTGCAGTGCATTTAACTCAGATCAGGTTTGGCAGTCTGTCTGCTGTCTGCTAAATAAAACATGAAGCAGCTATTTCTGTCTTCTCCAAAAACCCTATGCTCAGGAAATGACTGCTGCTGTTGTTAATCTGGCAAGTTGTCATGTCAAAGATACATCAGTTGCATCATTTGATGCCTGAGTTTTAGGTAATGGCCTCATGTTTTCTTACACAAGAGTGAACACCATTTCGACGTTTTAATTTGTAAATGCAAATCCTTATTAAACAAGGTTGAAGGAGCCATTGAAGGAGTATATTCAGAAAATACCCGTGCAAGCGTCGTTTGACTGTAACACAATGATTACCTTGTTGTGTCATAGTTTAGTGACTAATCAAAATACAGACCCGGTTCTCCAAAGGCGACTGAGAGAAATTCTGTACATCCTCCAGCCTGTTACATTGAAAAACACTAGTGCACGTGTTCATCAACACCAGTAACACACTTTATATTTAACATGCATCAGTGAACAGAGAGCCCAGGTTGCTCTGATAGTGGCCTTCAGCTCTTCTGCATTGTTGGGTCTGGCGTATCACATCTTCCTCTTCACAATACCCCATAGATTTTCTATAGGGTTAAGTTCAGGCGAGTTTGCTGGCCAATTAAGAACAGGGATACTATGGTCCTTAAACCAGGTATGGTAGCTTTGGCACAGTGTGCAGGTCCCAAGTCCTGTTGGAAAATGAAATCTGCATCTCCATAAAGTTGGTCAGCAGCAGGAAGCATGAAGTGCTCTAAAACTTCCTGGTAGATGGCTGCGTTGACCTTGGACCTCAGAAAACACAGTGGACCAACACCAGCAGATGACATAGCACCCCAAACCATCACTGACTGTGGAAACTTTACACTGGACTTCAAGCAACGTGGATTCTGTTCCTCTCCTCTCTTCCTCCAGACTCTGGGACCTTGATTTCCAAAGAAAATGCAAAATTTACTTTCATCAGATAATATAACTTTGGACCACTCAGCAGCAGTCCAGTCCTTTTTGTCTTTAGTCCAGGCGAGACGCTTCTGACGCTGTGTCTTGTTCAAGAGTGGCTTGACACAAGGAATGCGACAGCTGAAACCCATGTCTTGCATACGTCTGTGTGTGGTGGTTCTTGAAGCACTGACTCCAGCTGCAGTCCACTCTTTGTGAATCTCCCCCACATTTTTGAATGGGTTTTGTTTCACAATCCTCTCCAGGGTGCGGTTATCCCTATTGCTTGTACACTTTTTTCCTACCACATCTTTTCCGTCCCTTTGCCTCTCTATTAATGTGCTTGAACACAGAGCTCTGTGAACAGCCAGCCTCTTTAGCAATGACCTTTTGTGTCTTGGTCGTCTTTTGGACAGCTGTCAAGTCAGCAGTCTTCCCCATGATTGTGTAGCCTACAGAACTAGACTGAGAGACCATTTAAAGGCCTTTGCAGGTGTTTTGAGTTAATTAGCTGATTAGAGTGTGGCACCAGGTGTCTTCAATATTGAACCTTTTCATAATATTAGTTATATTAGTTGTCAGTTATAATCATCAAAATTAAAAGGAATGAACACTTGAAATATATCAGTCTGTGTGGAATGAATGTATACATTACACAAGTTTCACTTTTTGAATGGAATTTCTGAAATAAATCAACTTTTTGATGATATTCTAATTGTATGACCCGCACCTGTATAACAAGTGGAGTGAGGACAGGTGGAAAGGAGCCATTGAAGAGTAGAGGGAGATAGTGGAGGCAGAGCTCTTTTCAGAGCTGTATGCTACACATTGAACACTAAAGGGCAGGCAGAAAAAGATAGCCACTAGCATGGTTAAAACTATGTGGCATTTACTAGTAAAAACGTTACTGCATGTGAAATGTTTCTGTGTGTACTCCTGCTGATATCACATGCCATCACACGACACTGTCAAAGCAGTGTCTTGTGGCAGGGTTAGGTCGACGTGTATATAATCAAACAACAAAAGGGTGCTGAAGAACAGGACACCTTCCATTTTTATTTTATTTTCATCCACTTAGTGACAACGCCCAAGCAGGTTGTCTGTTGATACAGCAACATGGTTAGCACTGTCGCCTCACAGCATGAAGGTCGTGGGTTCAAACCCCAGTTTCCCCGGCTTTTCTGTGTGGAGTTTGCATGTTCTCTCCGGGTGCTCCGGCTTCCTCCCACCATCCAAAGACATGCGGACATTGGACCCTAAATTGTCCTTAGGTGTGAGTGGTTGTTCGTCTATGTGTGGCCCTGCAATGGACTGGTGACCTGTCCAGGGTGTACCCAGCCTTGCACCTGATGTCAGCTGGTATTGGCTCCAGCCCCCCACGTCTCTGTACACAGGGTAAGCAGTTGATGATGGATGGATGTATATTCCACACAAGTAATGGCAATGAGTTCAAATTTAACAATACAACATAATAATTTTGACAATTTGCTCACTACTTACATGATAAAAACTTCACACAGCATCACAGGTGAATATTACCTCAGAAGGGAAAGAATTTGTCATAACCCGTGAAGCTGCTGCAGTTATATGCCAAAACACTGACTAGGACTAGTGGATGGCTGCCCCCAAATGAAGAAAAAAATGACAACATAAATAAATGAAACAAGCTGTTTATTGTGATCTATGTTTTATGTTAACTTGCAATTTATTCTGTGTTTTTAGTTGATTATTAAGATATTGTTATAGCCTAATTAAGAGTTTTTTAAGGAGAGATGTTAAGAGATTTAGTATTTAAATGTTTTTAAATGTTTTGATTCAACTCCATTGTGTAATGTTTACATTGACTGTAGTTTGGGATTCATGTTCTTTATCAATAAAAAATCAAGATGCTTATGTGTACCAACATTAACTTGGTATGATTGACATACCTTTGTTTTTTTACACAGCAGGCTATTTATTTTTTGGAAAATGACTGCTAGAGCTGGGAACGAAATCAAACATCTAGGCTATATTAACACACATTGTAACAATATGGTCCTGAAAATGGGTCTCTATCAATACTTTAGATTACAGCCTGCATACCCTGTAGCAACATACTGTAACTAGGGCTGACTGCAAGTGCTTTAGATTAGGCCTTGGACAGGACCAATCTACCTGTTGCTAAGGTGCTTCAAAAAGTTTGTGCAAGTGTAGCCTACCTAGAAGAATACGTGCTGGCAAAAGTTGGTCACACCATATATTGATTTGAAATGGGTTTTTTTTTTCTGTTTCCAAAAGAAGGGCCCTTTGGCATCCAGAGAGGACAGGAGAGAATGCTCCTTGTCCACATTACGCTGCTGGAAACGTGATCCTCAATCCGCGGGGCAGCGCGCTGCGTCGCAACATTACGGTAGGAGAGCCCCAAGGTGCAGGTGACTGACAGGTGAAAGAGGTGACGCATCGGGAAGGACCACGAAAGCAAAGGGAAGGTATCGATTGGATTATTTCATGAGCCGTCTGGCACGTGTATGATTGTGCGAGGTCGAAACAAGCATTAAGGTAAGTTTATTAATATGGTTATTAATTCGCTGGTTCGTTTTGGAGAAGAATACAGCAAATGTTTTAATATGACATGTAGCCTCTATAGGTCAGAAGTTATAGGATGGATATATTTGCGATTTCTGACTGATAACAAACTGAAACTGTGAAACATTTCTTCACAGTTGTAAGCACTTTTAGCTTATTGTTGATTTTTGTATGTTCAGTCATTTTGAATTACTTCATGAGGATGAGGCGAAATATAAGTATAGGTCTATAAGCCTATTAAAATGTTGACATCAATGACCATCAGGCTGTTACCATGAAGTCTAATTTAACACATAGGAAGGAATTCTGCAGGTTTATTGTGGGTCTGCACAACTGACAAAATCCTTTAAACTGTGTAATGTAAATGAAAAGATGAAAATGAATATAGGATATACCAAATGCATGCTGGCATTCTGTCTATTTCAGCATTTTCTACAGTTTTCTCAATTTAACCCCATATCAAGCAGCAGTCAGTCATCACAAACTCATGCCATGCAGCCAAACATAGTTCAGATGCATTGGATTATATTTGGAATTCTAGTGGAGACCCCAAATATACCTGGTCAAGGGCGGCTATTTCATGTCACCATTGGTGGGGACAATCAAAGCTGTCAGCTTTCTCCTTGTGGGAGATTTTTAGAAATAAAGTCGCAGAGGGCATGAAAAAGGCAGACAGTGGACAGAAATGTATAAATATGAGGGGGGAGGACATATTCTTTCTAAAAAATGCAATAGTAATAGAGAACAACAGCTAGATTTTGCTAGGTGGAAGGGTAAACAGCAAGTTTACACAAGCCTAAATCAATAATAAGATGTACGGTCCCAGTTGCTCTAAGATCCTGTCACAACCACCAATGTTACAAAAAAAAAAGGGTTTTGGGTCAGTTTACACCAACAGTTATGCAACGTTTATACTAAATCAATGAATAACCAATGTTTCCCCACAGTTCTGGACATCTATGGAGCTGTGTGGTCCCAACATGAGTGAGAGTGGAGGCACACTGTGCCAGGTGAAGCAGCGTCCCCGCCACAGTGCCCCACTTTGTCACCTGCAGGCCAGTGGACACCACATGCACAACCTCCCCCACCAGCCATGGGTCAGCCACCCAGCTCCGGCCATCGCCTCCAGCCCGACCGAGGCCATCTGCCATAGGGTAAATAGATCCGTGGCGACCAGCTACAGCAACCCAGGTAGTGCGGCCTCCAGACTGGGAGAGGAGGCAGCACCGGCCCGCGGTGTCTCCACAGGGAAGGTGGTGGTGACAGGAGGAGGGGGATACTTAGGGTTGAGGTTGGGAAAAGAGCTGGCCAGCCAGGGAATGTCAGTGATCCTTCTGGACATGAACAAGCCTCCCTGCGATATCCCTGATGGAGGCATCTTCTATCAGGTACAGGACAGTGGAGAGGGAGCTGACTCTGTTCTGAAACAAACTGATACCTTTGTTTGAATGTTTGAACGTTTGTTGTTATATCAGTTCTCTATTTTTCCAAATCCAAAATGACACACAGCACTATCAACTTGCAATGATTATTCATCCATACATACTGTTTCTTTGTTTCTGGCATTTTACCCCAAAACACACTGTCCCCTCATTACGATTTATTTTTAAATTTTAGAATAGACATTTTAATCCATTCAATACAAAAAGCAGTCTATAGGTCCTCATATTTTAGACATAATACCTGTCACATGGTTGGGTGGCTGAATCAAATTTTTATAATTATTAATTGTTTTACAATTTTGAATTTGTATGAGAAAGCTTTAAAAATCATCTCCCTCTTAACTACCAGTCAGACTGATGTAGAATGTGGCAGAAATATTAATTACATTCACCCTCACATAGTTTGTGAAAAGGAACAGGATCTGATAAAAATGGCAAGAAATTACATCTGTCTTAAAGTAGCGAACATTTTGAAAAGACAAAAAATGGTTTATAATCTTGTCACAACATATATATGTTTAATGCAAATGTGTTTTATATTAATTAGCTCTGGGCTTTTTTTTCTCTACCTGCACATTCATTGTTATTTCTATCTTATTTTTAGATTTTAACCTCTAAGTAAACACAACTCAAACTCAAAGCACTGCTACGACAGTGACACAGGTGGGACCTCACATTTATTGTCTCACATTGAATGAGAAAAAATATTGTTTCTTGGTTTTTAATGTCTGCCCTCTTGCAGTAAAAGCCTCACTTACTTGGGTTATAGACAGCATTAAATACACAGTATGTGTTTTTCTTCTAACTTAAACTGCTCCGTGTAGACTTTCAATCCACTATTTCCTTCTTCAGCCAGCATCAGTGTGCCTCTCTGGTTAATCTGCGTGCTGGCTGGAAACAGACACAGATGAGTGATCTGCCTCAGAGCGCCAGCTGCTGACTGGGTCAGAGAGGGTGGAGACATGATTCAGGTTTCACCTGCGGGACTGATGGCACACTTACCTTAATTACAACTGTCCTTTCATGCGATAGTTATTGACTCACACTGCCACATGTACTCTGTCACTGAATTTGCAATGCTCACAACTTGTCAACATGTGTTGAGAATACACAGTAAATGTACTATTGATAATAACAAAGCGAGGTGATGAAAAGCAGTTCTGTCTTCTCTTATGGACGCAGCTAATCCTCTGAGTTGGCATTAGTTAATTGAGGATAATCATGCCTCCCTTTCTCTTACAGAGTGACATCCGGGACTATTCATCCCTCCATAAGGTGTGTGAAGGAGTTGACTGTATATTCCACACAGCGTCTTACGGCATGACCGGACCAGAACAGGTAACTTCCCTTCATGTCCTCTCCAGCGTCTTAGCATCACTACTTAACCATTCAATCAAAAGCCAGAGACAAACAGAGACTGTATGTAGTGGGGATGTTTCATAGAATAACGAAGAGCTGAAAGTTTCATGCCTTTATTTAATTTACGATTAACTATGTACTACTCATAATCTTCTGCAGGCCTGAAGCACCATAAATGAGACTTTCTGAGCTCAATAATAATAATGTAAGAGTTAGTTGAAGCTATTCAGCAGAACTAGTTTGATAAGTACCAGAATTCCTTGTTAGAATTGAAGATGAATACAAATACAAATGGTCTATTTATTTTATTTTATAGATAAGAGCAAATGTTGTTCTGTTAGCTATTCAATGATTTAGCATTGCATTAGCATTAGCATAGCACTCCTATAGCATTGTCAGACTCACGATAGACAGTTTTTATTACACACATTCTTCTTCCTTGTCAAAACCTGCCGCCTACATTACCCACACTGCACATTGGCCGCTGATATTTCTTTTGCCGATACGTGTGTTTTATGCTAGTAGCGGCTAATGTAGCCTCGGGCTGCTATAACCTCACACAGAGATGAGGAGCGGGCTACATATAGATCTGGTAAGCTCACTTCTTTCCAACAATTTATTTTCCCAGATTTATTTTACTTTCAAACTTGTGGTCTTCAGCACCAATCAATGTCGACTTAAGTGACATCACTTGAGGCACTTCATCAGATTTTACGCAGCTCCCTCTGGAGCTACAAAAGGTTTAATACAACTTTTTTCACATATAGTAGACTACTCCCCAGCACCTGTAAACAGACCTTGATCTGTAAAATCGGTGGAGTTCCCCTCTAAGGCTGACTTTTGTCACTGAATGTTTCTGTTTTGTTCAAAAAGTGTAAGTACAGTTAGACCGGGACAAAACTGTTCTAACCATCAGTGCTCAACCATCAGTGCTCCACCAATAACGCTAATTAAACCAAAGACACTTTACCACAATTAGAATTTGTTTTGGTGGCTGGTTTGTTCACGTGTTAAGAGAGAGCAAGTGGTCTCGCTATCGATGGCAATAGGGCAGTGGATAAGACACTGCCTTTGGTGTGAGAGACCTCGGTTCAATTCCCATTGTGGCACATCCACCAATGTGTCCCTGAGCAAGACACTTAACTTAAAGCATGCAACATCTGACATAATGTAGCTTTCAAAAAAAGTGTCAGCTAAATGTAAGATGTTCTGTATTTCTTTCTGTCTGCTAGCTGAGGAAAGAGCAAGTGGAGTCAATCAATGTTGGAGGGACCAATAATGTCATAAACGGTAAGGATACATGTATCTTATTTGTCATACTCATCAAGCAACCCTGTGATGAATCAATTTAATGAATTATGCTCATATCATTTAATATCTGGAAATAATTATAAATAATAGTAAAAGGGCTTTTTTCACTTTATTGTGTGTTTTTAATTAAAATCTTCATTGCTCATAGCAAAAAAAAATAAAGAAAGAATATGCACATTTGTCATACAATGTCTGCAAATTTATTTTTAATCTTTACACCCCCATAAAACACCCTGGTAGTCTGATAACTTTGCTGTGTGATGTGCTGTCTTCAGTGTGTAAGGAGAGAAGCATCCCCAGGCTGGTGTACACCAGCACCATCAATGTGGTGTTTACTGGGAAACCAATTGAAGAGGGCGATGAGGCTTCAGTGCCGTCTGTGCCCCCCGACATAGTGAGTAAAGCTTTTTTTAATCAAACTGAAGTATGACTATTGCCAACCTACAATGGGAAACCATATCAACTGAAATGTTACCCATGAATTCCTATAAATGTCCCATCCGCCCATGTATCACCAAAAATTAGAATGAAGAACCCAACAAAACACCAAGATTTGTAAATATCCCATACGTTTGCCATCAATAAGAACTTTTTCAACACTCGAGAGGGCAATACAATGCATTTATGTTTCTTTCTTTTGCAGCACATCGACCACTACTCCAGAACTAAAGCGATTGCAGAGCAGATGGTCCTCTCTGCCAACGGATGCTCCCTGAAAGGTGTGAAACAAACAGTGTGTGTAATGACAGGGCTGAACGATATATCTAAGAATTTCACATTGTGATTATTTTGGGAGATATTGTTATATGTCCCGATTTTAGTGGGAATGGTAATTGTTGAGGGTTTCTAGTTCCTCTACATTGTTTATATTAACAGATATGAAGCCTCCCATTCCCTCCTTCAGTGACCCTATCAGTGACGACCACCTTATACATTAAGCTTAGAGCTACAGGTTCATGATACACTGCAAGTTAAAGGTCATGTATCTACCAAAGTACTTAAGTACAATTTTGACTTTTTACTTCTACTGCACTTCATTTGGCTTTACTTTACTAGATTAATTTGGCAAGTACAGTTGCTATGTAAAAAACAAACGCTTATGATAGACTTACTATACAACACATTGTAAAAAGAGTAAACCACCGCTTTCTAGCCTTTTTGGCCAGTGACCCTGTATGAAAAAGCAGAAATGTCCCTTCAAACTTCTCAGATGTTTGCATTTAAATGCAAAATTCAAAGAACAAACACATTATCCCATCTCTCCCAGATCATCATCATCGTTAACTATCTTCTTCTGTAATATATCATCATATTTCAGTCACAGAGGCCACTGGTCTGTGGAAGGGTAGGTTTTACTTTTGAAACCTCAAGTATATTTAGCTGATAATTCTTCTACTTAAGCAGGATGGAAAGCAGGACTTTTACTCGTTATTATATATCTGTAGTGTTTGTACTTTTACCTAAGTAAAAGATCTACTTCTTTCACCACTGCACCTCAAAGATGAATTGGACACAAAAGAACTTTTATATATTAGTTAGCTGATAAACGTATATACATGATACACAAACCTTTCTTTGCTAGAAATATCAGTATGCTAATGGTGACCACTGTCAAAGTTTTTTCCTGAAAAACACATACATGCATATATTCAGTGAAGGTTGAAATCCTCTCTTGTGAAGGCGGAGGCCTGCTTCGGACCTGCGTCCTGCGACCCTGTGGCATCTATGGACCAGAGGAGAGGAGACACCTTCACAGAGTGGTGGTGAGTCAACACAAACAAAGCGGATATACACCGGTCAGCCATAACATTATGACCACTGACAGGAAGTGATTAACTCTGATTATCTCGTGACCATGGCACCTTTCAGTGGGTGGGATATATTAGGCAGCAAGTGAACATTTTGTCCTCAAAAGTGATTTGTTAGAAGCAGGGAAGATGGACAAGAATAAGGTTTTGAGCGACTTTGACAGGGGCAAAATTGTGTTGGCCAAGGAAGGAAAAAGAGTGAAGTGGTGACAGGGTCATTGATGCACGTGGGGAGTAAAGGCTGGCCCTTGTGGTCCAATCCAACAGATGAGCTACTATAGGTCAAATTGCTGAAAATGTTGATGCTGGTTCTGATAAAAAGGGGTCAGAACACACAGTGCATTGCAGTTTGTTGTACATGGGGCTGCGTAGCCGCAGACCAGTCAGGGTGCCCATGCTGACCCCAGTTCACTGCTGAAAACGCCTAAAATGGGAGCATCAGAACTCAACCACAGGGCAGTGGAAGAATGTGGCATGGTCTGATGAATCACGTGGATGGTGGTGTGTGTGCGTCGCTTACCTGTGGAGCACACAGCACCAGGATGCACTATGGGAAGATGGTGAAACGGCAGAGGCAGTGTGATGCTTTGGTCAATGTTGTGCTGGGAAACCTTAGGTCCTGCCATTCATGTGCATGTTACTTTGACACGTACCACCTACCTACCTACCGGCTGATACACACGCCAACCTGTGAATGGGGAGTACTGGAACCTATTTTTTCCACTTCAAAGCACTGCTGATCGGTGTGTATCAGGGCTCAGCAAATAAGTCTGACATCTGACCAGTTTTTTTTTTCAAGCCATTAGATGGCGAGCCAGAACATCGTCTATTGGCTATTTATATGCATATAATGTTTTCTGCATGTGATTAGCTCAGTTGGTAGTGCACAGGACTCCAGTGTGGTGTGTTCAATCCTCACTTGCTGCTAGTATTTTTTTTTTCTTCCTTTTTCAACAGATAGATTTTGAAGAGATCGTATTACATATCACTATTAAGCATGTGCAGGAGTATGTACATCCCGGTGATTGGTCCACATCAAACTATGGATACTTACTTTTGTGTCCTCACGACTTTTTCGGCTTTTTCAGATGTGTGTCAAGCCAGAGTCTCTTTTGAATTTACTTCAGAACTTTTGAAAGTAACAGCTCTCAATTAAACACGACACAAAGCACTGCTGCAAATATGTTCTTGCGCTTTTATTTTGTAGGCCCAATCACTTAAGAGGAAGTGATTATGTGAGTAACTTTTGCTGTCATGACTGAGATCTGTTTCAGCACCAGTGCTATCTTTTTTTTTTTGTCACTATCAAAGTAATCTGGCCAGATATTATTGCTGGCAGGCCAGCTTTGGCCCACAGGCCATCTATTGCCGACCACTGGTGTATATTGTCATATCATAAACATGAATTCCTTTTCATGTTGGCACTGGAAAAAATATATCTTGCAGTGTCTGAAGCCTCCCTGGTGTTTCTGCCTGAAGAGTTTACATTATTGATAGAGCTCTCCAGGCATCCAGTTACAGCTACCTTTTCCTCCCCTGTGTCCTCTATGAGGTAGCAGTGCAGCCTGCTGAAGGGCCAGATGTGGTTGGTTATCTATCGGCCAGGTGGGACAGATGGTTGACTTCTTATGTACTATATATTGTAGGTTGCCTTACACATTATACTATGTATTAGATACTATATTTGTACAAATGTAGTATGTTCAAATATGTTTTGCACAAAAAAACTACAAATACTTCTATAATTCTAAATCATTCACATACCATAAGACCATTAGTTTCAGTTTACTGAAGTACACTAATAAAACTGTTTAAAATCCTTTGTAGCAAGGTTGATTTTGGTTAATTTTTACAAACTTTCCATGCATTAAGTTTTGTCTTTGACTTTGGTATCCTTTTCTTTCAGCACGGCTCAGCTAAATGTCTGTCTTCTCATTTTGTCCATTTAACAAAGGAACCCAAAATACATGAAACATGACACAAGTGCCTTTACAGATAATGTAACAATATCTATATAATATATAGAGCAGTTCCATGTTATAAAGCTATTGTTTCACAATTTATACGTAAAAATACAGCAGCAGATACAACTATAATGCAGTCTATCTACATGTAATTTTAGGATTCAGCTGCTGAAAAGCTATGCTAACAACAAACAACCCTGAGTGATATTGTTTTTTGGACCTCTAGTAATTCATTTCCCATTTTTGCCCATTTTTCTGTTTTTCCAGTCATTAACCTCTCCTGTCATTTCAGATACCTGCCATTCCTCACCTGCCCTGTAGTTACCGCTGAGGCCTGTGTTCAGTGTTTTCCCACCATTCCCAATCACACTTTCCCCATTCCCTCATTAGCTCCTCTGCATGTGGCAGAGAGCATTCCTCCAGTCTCTTGCCAGGTCGTTCCCCCCGCCTGCCTCTAGCCTGCTTGGTTTACCCTTGTGGTGTCCGAACGATAATGCTGCGATGATGTGTTGAGAAGAAATCCGCTTGACACTGTTCTTGATTATAAAAGTTTATTACATCAAAGAATTCAGCATCAATTACAAGCTCTGCAGCAGCTTGGAGAGTGACCCAGCCCGATAACCACTCTGTCTCTCTGTACATTGAACACAGCTTATATAAGACATGTTTAGGTCTCTGCTAAAAACCATATAAGGGCACAGTCCCTTCATACACACTAACCTCTACTCCCCCTACCACTGGGTCAGAGGTCAAATTTCATAGTAGGGTTCACTCTTTGCACACCCATCAATCATTACTTCCCCTTAAGGGTTCACTGTGCCTCTGTCCAGCTCTGAGTCAGGGGTCAAGTTCTATAGGAGGGTTCACTGTCCCCAGCTACAGAGCATTATGTTAAACTGTAATGGTCAAATGCACATATGTTATACACCACATATTCCCCCCTACGAGACTTAATTGAGTCTCGAAAAACAAAAAGAGATCAATTTCTCCAACACATACTTCTAGCATATTATTTTTAACAACATATCAACTTTATGGAGTGTGAGAACGAAAAACCTGTCCGGCAGCCTTCATTCCAAATTCCCTCCAAGACAATCTAGACAGGAAAATTTTCTCACGGCCCCTCTGCCTTAGGCGGCCACGCATAGTACTCCAGTCCAATTAATAAACGACATCTTTATCAGTCAATGCAGAAATATGGTTTAGCCAATACATGTGAAAACCTCAGGAAATTAAACAAATCAAAACAATGTCCGAATTCAGGCTGGTCAACCCATCGGACCCTCCAACGGACCTTTCCCTGCCTAGACCCTATATCCCTAAGCATCAAGAAAAAGAAAAAACCTGAGGTCCCCAAATATTAACTCCCTAAGTGTCTAAGTCTTTACATAGTTAACACAAAAAGAATATAATTGTTAATTAAGTATTATTCATTCACATATGTATTCATATCTATATCAAAGTAGACACAGGAAGTATTCCACTGCAGCTCCTCAGCAGTGTCGATGCAATCCAGACGTTTCCACACCGTCCTTGTCCAGAGTCCATTCATACTGTCCTTGTTTGAGTATTTGAATCCCCATCTGTACATCCCCATATACTCTGGAAGAAAAGAAAACACCAACCAGTATCTTGTTGCAAATAACACATGAAAATTAAAACCTCAATGTATGAAAATACAAAGTAACATTAAAATGGATATCTTTCCATCATTAATTCATCTGGTTCCCCTTCATCATCTCCATCTAAATCAGCCGTAGTTAACAAAGGCATCTGAGTGTTCTCCCCAGGCATTACCACTCCAACCCATCTCAATATCATAGCTTTCGCAAAAGTCAATAGCACCGTACAAAAGCAAAACATCAAACACAGCGCTACAAAGGCTGCTACCAAAATCTGAACCACCTCTGCTCCCACTGGTCCTAACTGATTTTGTAGCCAAGTATTTGCTGACCATCCAGCTCCCTCAGATTGACCAAACGCATCCCTTATACTCTTTAATGCATCTATAACACTAGTGATATTATCAGAACTATCTGGGATCAAAGTATAACCGTCTCCCGTCAAGTTCATAGCCACACACAAACCTCCTTGTTTGGCTAAAATATAGTCAAGAGCCATGTCATGTTTCAACAATGTCAGTCTGTGACTTCTTTGAGTATTTGACAGAAGATTAAACCCTCGTATAGTTTCATTTGCAAAACCCCATTAATTTTTTCACACACCCCTTGACTTTGTGGGTGATAAACTGCTCCAAACGTTGTTTGATTCCCAATTTTTGCTAAATCAATTTCACTGTTTTATCCACAAACTTTTCCCATTATCTTATGATATTCGATCTGGAAGTCCCCACCTGCTTATGACCTCTCTACACAAAAACTTGGCAACCGATTGAGCGTCTTTCCGCTTGGTTGGACAGGCCTCCGGCCATCGTGAAAATCTATCCACAACCACTAGCATGTATCTTTTCCCTTCAACTGGTTTTATCATATCGACAAAGTCAACAACTAACTCACGCATAGGACCCCTTGGGGTGGGAATGTAACCAGGAGGAACAGACATACCCCTGCGGACATTATTTTTCAGACAGATTGTACACCTGCCTATGACATAATCAATCTGTTCAAGCAAATATGGTGCCCAAAAACCATACTCCTTTGTGATTTTTCTCCTAACCTCCCCCCTGGAAACATGAGCTAACCCATGTGCTTCCTGAATCATCAAACCTAACAGGTCCAGAGGTGCTACTATCAGTCCCTCATGATTTCTCCAAAGACCCGTAGAATCCTTAACAGCACCTCGGTCCAGCCACAACTGTTTATCAATCATAGAAGCAGCTTCCTGCATCAAAATCACTTCCTTAAGCGTAATTCTGTCTTCCAAGTCCACCCCATGAGTGACCAAAAAACCTTGCCCAATTTGTCAGCTCCTGTGACAGCTTTTGCAGCTTCATCAGCAGCTTTGTTCCCTTGTGTCACTCTTGACATCTGT